TTGGCTTATCTTAGTGCCCACGAATATTGGAATTCCTTGTAACTCATATGATCTCAAATATCACTTTTGATTTTTTTTCTTCCCGTTCATTAGCCACTATAGGTGCCACTTTCTTATGGAGAGCATCCAATGTTGTAGTGAGACTGTTGTTACCAGACCAATTCTTCTTCAAGTTAATATGCTTAGGTTGAAGCCCTTCTCCTTATTTCCTTAGCTAGTCTTTCATGGTAGTACTTATGGGAGATCCTTTGACTCATGCAAATCTGCAAACTTATTACACCGTATACCCGAAGAAATTTTTGATGTTGTCACTCGCCTATAATTATCCTTAGTTACTTACCTCCGCGCCCTTGTGCTCGTAGGGTTGCTTCTAAACTAAAAGTTTTGACTGTCTTCCTAGTGGAACTGTCTCTTATTTTCGTAACACTTATACGGTACCTTTAACAACCCCAACTCCTATCTGAATATTTATCAAGGATTCCAGTGCCAATCTTCTAAATTTTCTGGATAATCTAGTATTTTACATCTAAATATGCTATTCTAGAGTGCACCATCGAGGTGTCTCACAAGGAGAACCATTACCATGTTTGCATTATCCTTCAGAAATGTCAGCTAATGCTAACAATCCATCCACAATTTTGGGTTACTCTAACTCTAGTTGGATCTTGATATCCCATATTTCTCTTAAACAATATATGTTAGCTCCCATATGGCATAACTGAAATGGGTATGGCCAATTGTACATACCTCGGCTACTGTTGAAGGTAACTTTGAATACTTATATTTCTTTGCCTGAATTGTAAAAACTGATAATCTTCACTAACTGTGTACCTCGTATCCTTCTTCACCTTGCTTCTTTTACCTATTGAAACTTGTTTCCACCTTTTGATTCTCTCATCGCTCTTTACGATATGGGTGGGTAGATATTCATGCCTTGGGGCTCCTCATCAAGAAGCTTACACGTCTTAGTACACACATAATCTACTGAAGACCTTACATTTACTCATCATAAGCATGATGCAAAATCGAGTTCCTCTTACTCAACTCTTCCACAGCCGCATTCAATCTCTTACAACCTGTCTTTATGGATGTAGGTATTGTCGTATTACGAATAAAATAGAATTTATGAGTTTGAATTCTTACAATTGAGCTCTACCACGCAATCTAGAGTAAGAAGAAAGAGTGACAGTCCTAAATACCCTGTAGCCTCCTGCTTATAAGTGTGGTGCACAACACACCCATAAACAAGACTCTACTAGACACGGCCTGTAGACTCCCTAGGATAGAACCGCTCTGATACCACTTTTGTCACGACCCAAACTGATGGACCACGACAAGCACCCAATGCCTTACCCAATCGAGTATCGACGTAACGTATTTTTCTTATCATACCATCCTGGGTAAGTAGGCCAGAAGGGCCGTCATGATATAACCAGAGTAAAACATAAGGGAACACTAGATGTAAGATAGCCCAACATGATATATAAGCTTATACATGTGACATACGGGCCTATAAGGACGACATGATCATTTCTACACTCAAAACATTGGCCGCCAAGGCCAAAGAAGTATCCATATACATGACATCTGTCTACAAGCCTCTAAGAGTACATACACGTCATAAAGGTCGGGACAGAGCCCCGTTTACCAATCAATACATGTCCAAATCATACTGACCAAATAGGCAACTCCGGAGCAAGTGGAGTGCACCAATACCTTTCGCTGAGCTGATAGACAACTAGGAAGATTGTCGACCTGTCTATCGGAACCTGCGGGCATGAAACGCAGCATCCCCAGGCAAAAGGGACGTCAGTACGAATAAAGTGCCGAGTATGTAAGGGAGGAAAGCATAAATAAGAACAGTAATGTAAAGATAGATATAGGAGATACAACCTGTAGCATCTGAGTGCCTCTGAGGGCTACTGAAATGAAATTCATGATACATATATATACATAAAATTTTAAAAACATACTCCTCTGTGGGCATCATAATCATCATATCGTACCCGGCCTCGAATAGGACTTGGTAAAAACGTATCCGGCCATCATAAGGCTAGGTAGAATCGTACCCGGCCACGTGGAGCTCGGTAAAATCCAACTAGTCAATGGTTGCACAATAGGTGCCGTACCCGGCCGACTATAGCACGGCTCGGCAGAGTAAAATAGATACATATATATAATGCATGGTGGACTCATGTAATCATGTTCTAAACCTTTCGGAGTGACGTAAGGTCGTTGCAACTTCTACTAACATTATGGACATCATACCATCAATATGAACTTCAATAGGATTCATAGATCATACGTACTTTCTTAGAATAACTTTATAAGGAAAGAACAGCATGGACAACCTTAGTTGCTAGGAGTAGATTCGTTATGAAATAGCATATCGTTTACGTTCATTTCACTTTAGATCATACCAAAAGAAAGAAGGAAGTTCCTTAACATACCTGTATGATCGCTTCCTTAATACACAACCAAGCTCAACATAACTTCTTGCAGCTACAACAAGTGAAATGATATTGCCGTTAACATATAATGTCGTACTATCGTATTTGTCTAGTCGTATGGCTTAAGGAAAATCGGGCAACAACTCCCCTATTTTTAATACATCCCAAAGACCAATAAGGGTCATCAACATCCCAACAACAACAACTATAACCAACAATAGCAACAACAACAATATAATCCAATATGAGCTTCTCCGATTATCTTAACAATTATAGTGAGCGGCAAGCTCGTTTTTACTTATAACAAGATATAAATTGAATCCAGCTCTTATTCCATAAATTAGTTTACAACCTTCAAAACATCATACTTATATGTACTATATTATTTCTAGTTCAAAATATTCACAAAATGCCTTCCAAAACAACCTCATACGTCTAGCACCTTAATTTTTATCGTCAATCACTTGTTTTTAATCTTTTCTTCTTCAATCAACTTAATTAACACCTACAAAAGCTTAAAAACATCCGCCACAATATTATCAAATTATTTCTCACAATTTCCAGCCACCACAAATCATATATTTAGCCATAAAACAATCCAACCAAAAAGACAACCATATCTCATGTTCTTTCAAGTGCTATCTTATTATTTTTCACTCAAACAACACAACCAACACAAGATTAACCTTAGGCACAATCAAGAAGATGTTATACATACCTTGGACAACAGATACAACTCGAAACCCTATCTCAACTTAGCTCACAATAGCGCTCAATCACACCACAACATCATAGAAGCATTTTTTGTAGTCTTTAGCACCTTTGATGATGATTTGAGTTGATTTCCCTTGAGTTTGGTTCTTCGGATCTTGGGATATGTTAGGTAGGGATTTGGAGAGCTTTTGGACGAAATTTGGATGAGAAATGACCCGAATTGAGGCTGAAACATCTTTTAAAAGACGTAAGGTCAGTGGTCGTCTCAAATGGGTCCCAACCGAGCTGTTTGCGTAGTCTCGCGAAAATGCAAATATCTCTCTACTCCGATGTCATATCGACGAACGGTTAATGCATTGGAAACTAGATCGTAGATATTCAATTGATATGTGAATAATCCGTTAATTCCAAGTATTTTGGGAGAAAAGAGCATCTACATTGACCTAATTTTCAGCATATTTATGAATGTAACTTATGATGATCTTTGCCAACTTTTGTTCCACAACTCGCTTAACTTCAAAACATAACACACGACTATCATGCGACTAAAATAAATCACAACACAACCTTATTATAAATTTAAGCACCCTAGTCTCACCCTAAAAGTACATGTTATAGCATTCCAACTTGTTGACTTTCGACGAAACTTATTTTCTTCAATTCGTTTAGCTTTTAAGCCTTCCACCCCTCTTGGTACTTGGTATTCATGATCTTAAATATTTGTAACCTCCGCGGTAACATGATTTACTCTACTTTATAAACTTTTCAAATATGATTTCATTTCTGAGCTTACATCAATTAACTTACGACGTACTCTCATGTACAAACACGGGGTATAATAATTACACAGATAAAAATGGTTAGAAGATCTGAAATATATCTAATTGTTCATCATCTTCATGTCTTTCCCCTATTTAAAAATCTTTACACTCCTTAAATTTAACAACAATTAAGCAGAACACAAATTTTAGAAAATCAAATTTTTTTAATGGTAAAAAAATAAATCATCATTAACCCAAATAGAAATTGAAATTCTTAGCTCCCGTTTGGACGTAGATTTTGGGTACTATTTGTTGGGGAAAAAAATGAAAACATTGTTTGTTTATGGAATTTAATTAGTTTTTGGAAAAAAAAAATGAAGAAAAATTGGGTAAAATTTTTCTTTCACTCACAACACTTCAACATTTTTTCAACTAAAATGCATGTCCAAATACAACTTCATCTTCCAAAAATTATTTTCCAACACAACTTTAAAAAAGAAATTTACAAGTTTCAACAAAATCTATGTCGAAATGCTAGCTTAAATTAGTGAAAAATTTAAAGCAAATAGATAAATTACATGGAGTTATTATATACATTTAGCAACAAGTTTTGATATTGCTAAAGAAATTGCAACCTTTGTTATGCCGGAAAGAACAAAATCTATAAAATATTAATTTTATTACTTTGAAATTTATGCATATAATTGCAATTGCGTAAACCAAAAAGTAGTGATGGTCACAAAGACAATTACTGAGAGATATGATTAGATATCCTTTGAGCAAAATAAAATATTTTATAAGTCTTTTATTTAAACAAATTCTACATGTTCTTTCTCTCTCATTTTATTCTCTTCTTCTTCCTCTTGTTTTAGAATTAGTAACCAAATAAATATTTGACCCTAAAATAGAAGGATCGATAAAAAATAATTCCGTTATTTTTGAGGTGCAAATATAAATCTTTACTCATAATAAGGGCATATTTGAAACTAAAAATCAAACTGAGGGCAATTTTGCTCTATTTCCTATGGCAAATCTAAACCAATTTACAAATGATAAGAGCATGTCTGAGGCTAAATTTAAATAACGACAAATTTGCTCTATTTCCCATAGTTGAGGGGCATTTTTGACCCTTTTCCCTTAAATAAATGCGGTATGACTTTATCTAATGAAACACGTTTCCTTGAGTATACGTGAGGATATGCAAACACGTACCAACGATGAGCTTTTAGCAGTCTACATCACAATGAAATGAATCACGTTCCTCAAACTTAGGTGTAATGTCTTAGCTAAGGTTATATTTTATGATTACAAAATTTCAGAAGCTTAGGTTAAAAGAACGGACATGCACACAGTCCAACTCACAAGCTCACTCTTCTGCAATAAAATGCAATGCATCTTTCTGTTCCTTGCTAGGGCCCTCCATCGCAGTTCCCTCTTCTCTGTCAAAAGTGACCCAGGTCGCAGTTGTTCCCTCTGGAGCTTGTCTATCATTACTCCTTGCTTTTTCTTCACACCAGTCAGGTGATGCCGATACAAGCTGATTCTACCCTTATTTATAGGCCAGTAAAGTTAGAGAAGCTCTTGAGCGCTTTCTCCTCCATTTCAACAAGCTGACGGCAGAATATTTCAACACTGTGTGCCTCTTCTCTCAATGGAATTCTGAACTCCCTCCACTGATATTCACGAGAACCATCGCTCCTCACTGGACCTAGAACTTTCCCCATCACATCAAATCCTTTCTGATCTATAGAAAGCAGATAGGCATCCTTCACATAAAACCAGATATCAGTGTCTCTTCTGCGTATCAGCCAGTAGTAATTTATATAGTGACTGAATGACAATGCAAATTAGCAGGCCAAGGACAACATCTGTTGATGTTCAGCATGGAGTTATGGCTTAATGGTGTCACGAACAGTAACAAGCAGGATCACATCAATGATATGCTACAACAATTATAAGTCAGACATAAAATCAAAGGATCTCCCAGTCATGAAAGCTGGAAAAAAAATGGCCAGTTATGCACAAACAATGTTTCGAGTGTAATCAATTGACACACGAAGGTATATTGGCCCTAGATACACTGCTACAATTTATCTTCGAACTTCCAAACGAAAGTAGAAGTAAATCGCCTACTAGATTATTAGCAAGAGAACTCAGAGACCAAATACATTTTAACTAAAGCTTTCAGGGACTACCAGAAGATCACCTTTGCATTCTTACTCAAGTGTGTGATGCAGAAGAGAATAAGAGCTCTACGCCTCGCCTCACTTTGATTAATTCCATCAATTAGGCTCATAGTATATGATGCTACAAATGGAAAACATACATTTAGAGCATAATGCTAATGAGAATGCATTGGTCCTCAAAAAGATAAGATACGCAGCAAACATCAACCGTTGAGTTCTAAGAATCTTACATAAAGGATCAGGCTTTGTTGCTTGGACTTCTTCAAGATCTACTTCATGAGTCCCTCCAGTACTATCAATATACATGCATGAACTGTGGAGTAGATAATTTTCCATATGTAGACATACTTCTAGTCAGTTTTCAGATTTATTTAATTATTCCATCCATCCAATTTATGTTATACATTTTTCATATTGCAATGTTCCGAAAGCTTCCTTTTTTGGGGGGGAGGGGGGGGGGGGTTAATTTGGTGGGTGAGGTTTACCATAGAAGAAAGTTCCCAAAATTGTTTGCACACTTGTACACAATAATGTACTCAGAGGTTTTCAAGAGTTTAAAGCAAATAAGCAATTCAAGAATAAACAATAAGCTGAAACATCAAAGTCAGAAAAGTACATTAGTATTTTTATCAACCATTATATAATGCAAGTTAACTAACTCCATAATTTTCAAGCACAGTAAAATTGCATCACATGCACAACCAGGGCGTACATTAAAGAGAAGCTACAGCCTATACAAGTATTTCTGGAGATCCAATCCCATTTATCTAAAAGGTGGCAAACTTTTAATATATGTTTCATCAAAAAGTTCACTAGGTATTACCTAGGAGGATAAGAACATCAATCAACAATCACAACGATTAGCAATCAAACTAGGTTCCAGAGCCAGCCATGCTAGTAGTAGCTTTAAGAAAGAAGTGCAAACGTAAGGATCTCATCTCAAGCTTCTTTTGTTTCCTAGTCGAATAAGTAGTCATCTCAACAGCTTAAAGTCATTTCCATGTTTGACTCAGTTTAATATTGCAGAGGGCCAGAAGGTTAGGAGAAATCAAAGATCACACTTTAGAAGACGACCTAATAATCCTTCATCTATAAAAAAAAATAAAAAGATTACATGATAATCTAGCTTAATTAAATCTTTTCACCTTGGATTGAACTTGAACACAACATATCCTTTGTCCGCATCAAATAATTCCTGGAGATTGTCACCTCGGCATGTAACACCAAGGGAAGATGAACTCAATATACCCAAAACGGAGTAAGAGAATTTCTCTATCATGCTCCTTTCAGATGATATGACTTCCTTAAGGCTCTCTCTAGCTAATTTAGCCTGTCATGGAGAGAAAGAAGAAACAGTCAGGGAAATCACTTCTAACTGTTCCGCATGAAGTTGTTTAGTGAAAAGAAACAAATTTCATTCCAGTAAAGGGTCTCTTTTAGCTAGTCAATTTAGCTGTATAACAGGTAATGGTTACCGAGCTACCACTATATCAACTCAGCTCCTCAGTTAGCCTATACGACACAGAATCGTCTAACCCAACAGTTTTATGAAAAGCAGAAATATAACTATGAGAAGCCATAAAATAACTTGCAATCCCATCAACGTGTGCAGAGGGTCAGCAAAAGTTAGCAATGATTTGCAGATTCTTTTGTAATTTGCCAAGCCTCCTCCTTCATTAGTCAATGCCCAACATCTTAATCTTTAATAGAGCCAAAAAGCTAAGTTGCTCCAACACGGCAGTTTAGGTGCCGCACCCGTGCCAACACGATACTAGTATTGGTGTGGGTATGGGATCCGTACCGGATTTGGTCAAATAATTTTTGGATACTTTGACCGTGACGGACGGAAAAATTCGAGATGAAATACAATTTGATTCCCGTAATTAGAACCAAAACTAGGGTAAATTTGAAGAAAATAGCATACCTTCTCTAGGAAATCAATCCTTTATTTATCTACAACTTGAGAATAAAAAAAAATCCACACTTTACAAACTATACGTAAGTATTCCACAAAATTTCTCATAATTTAAAGATTTTTTTATTTTTTTATTTTTTCGAATTATTTTTAGCCGGATCTCCGCACACGTATCTGTACTAGGATCCGTATCCCTGAATCTTGAATTTACATCTCAAAGGATCCGACCTCTAGATCCGCACCTATGTCGGACACCCGCACCCATATCCGAGCAACTTAGCCAAAAAGTAAACCTAAAATACTGAACTATAAATAACATGAAAATTTATGCTGCCATCAGTGTATTTGGAGTAAGCAAAAGTTAGAGCTGCTTCATAACTTTCATTTTGATTTTCCTAGTCTTCCTCCTCATTATGGGATACTCCAATTTTTTTTTTTTTGAAAAGAAAAAAAAAAAATTGGGATGCTCCAATTTTAACCTGGGATGCTCCAATTTTAACCTATCTTGTTTCGTCTATTATTTCCCTCATCTGGCTTTCTCTCCCCCCCCCCCCCCCCCC